CGAGCGGAGCCTTCGCCAAGCAGCTCTTCCTGGGCAAAATCGAGAAGGTAACGCCGCGCCCGGCTGCCGCTTGCTCACTGCTTCCCGCCTTTCGCCCTTAGCAGACGTGACTGGGGTCGACTTTGTCAGTTCCGAGTGCCCACACCTGTCGGCCACAGACTCCCTAGGGCCGAGCGGTGCTAAAACTCCATTCCCGAACCCCCCAACAGCCTTCCCGCGCAGGCTCTGGGAATCTCTGGTTTTGACAGCTGGTGTCCAGCTAGTGCTTGTCAGGTCAGTCCCGGAAACCCGAGGCCAGGCGAGGCGAGGCGGCCCCCGCTTAAAGATCCGGCCCGGAAATACTTGAGCGTGCTCTCGGCTTCCAGGGCCCTTCGGCTCCCACAGCTGAGTCCCATCCCCTCACCCTGCCATTCAGGCCCTCCAAAGCCTGTCTCCAAGGTGACCCCCACACTGTCTCCTCTGCCAGCGGCACAGCGCAGACGTACCCTAGTAATAACTTAGTTATGAAGCGCTCAGCCTCTTCTAGTGGGGAGACTTGGGTTTGACCTTGCCTCTGTGACTTTGATCCACACAGTTCCTTTCCTCTTTGAAAAGAGCCAGTGGCATTTTCTGCTTCGCTGATGGTTGTAAAACCCCGGGGAGAAGAGCGCAGGGGAAATGCTTCTGAAAGTGTAGAGTCCTGTGCACGTGGTCGCAGAAGGGATAGTTCTAGCTGACTTAAAGGCTGACTAGTCTCGTGACCTTGGGGTAGTCACCTTCACCTCTGTGCCTCAGTGAGCTAGTCTACAAAACAGTAAAAGCAGTGATCTTACTCTGCCCCCCCCCAAGGTGCTGTGCAAACCAAAAAACTTTGTGTAAATTAATTAACACTTGGCTGAAGAGTTAGCAACACAGTTTCTTGAGTTACTCCTTGGTTTCTCTTTAGAACATTCCTTGAGGGTTGTAAGGCGTTACAATTTACAAATGCAAAAATGGAGACGCTAAGAGTTGCTTCCCTGGCTAGGGAATGCAGAACTAGTTCTTTTTAAGTTTGGGAAACCACTTTTTTTGGGGATATCTTTGCACTCACTCCATTCTGGGCCCTCATACCTCCCAGCTCACAGGTGAAGAAAGAACTGAATCCTGTTTCTGTTTCTCCAAGCACCACCTCCCCATCCTCACTCACCTGTCGCGCTCAGAAAATACATGGAGTTGAACGTGCCCTTCCACCATCTTTCTTCCCACATCTGCACCCATAAATCAGCTCGGGTAAAATGCCAAGACCAGCCCCAGGCGTCCTTACCTGCTCACGGGCGTGATCCACTGATTCTCTTCCCTGTTGCTGCTATGAGCTCCTAACACTCACTGTTTATACTTTTGTCTTTAACAATATGAACTGCTTTCATGAAAGTCAGTGGGACCGCCGTGTGTAATCTCGAGTCTCTCACTCTCTCTCCTCAGCCCATTGTTGGTATCCGATACAGCGTATAACTTTTGACTTGTAAAACAAAACCATTCTGGTTTTCTGACTGGCTGATCCTTCTCACTGTCGCTTGCTGGTTTCCTCCTTGACACCTCCCCACACTGACTAGCATCTCCAGCCATCCCAGTGGGTTTTCTAAGGCCCAGTCTGCAGACCTCTTTCCATCTACAACCCTGCCTTTGATGATCCTTTTAGTATTGTGGCTTTAAATACCAGCAATAGCCTGATGCCTCATAATTATTTCCCAAGCTCAGGTCCCCCCTCCCCCCCAATTGCAGGTGTTTTATGTCTACCTTTCTACTCAAAACATATACCTAGGTATCTAATAGACATCTCGGATTTAACATATCCAGAGCTGAGATCCTGATCTCCCCATCTCTGACACTCTTTATGGGTGATGATGACTCATGTTCCATTTTCTCAGACTGAACCACAGAAGTCACCTTTGGTGCCCCTGTTCTCACAGCCCACACCTAATCTGACAGCAAATCCTGTTTTCTCTACCCTCAGGTTGTACTTAGCTGCTGACCCCTTGTAAACATCTTCAGTGCTCCTCCCTGACAGGCCAAGATCAGGTCTCAGCATTCCTATGTCTGAGGTGCTTGACACCACAATAGAGGGAACTTTGAGGCCCTCTAGGCCAGTGGTTGTCACACTGCTGCCATCTGGGAGCTAGCTGTTTCGGGCCGGGGTTGCATGGGAACTCTTGCGGAGTTCAGTGGGAGGAACTCCATGGCCTCTCTGCGCCTTCAGCCAGAGCACCTTGCCTTGTATCTGGCTATGAATTTTGTTTCTGCACTAGATTTATTTGAAAAGTAGTTCCTACCTGCCCCCCCCACAAAAACAAACAACTGAAAATAGCTAATAGAAATTGAACCTGGTTCCCATTTGGCTTTTCTAACATTGCTATCAGATGCATCTGCGGTTTCTCTCGCATAGCAACTGTTCCTGGTTGAGGGCCAGCTGCGTCCAGGCTGTTGTCTTTTCTTATCTGATATACTTACAGTACCAGAGTAATCTGATCACTCTCCAGCACAGTCCAACGCACAAAGCCCAGGGGACACGGCGACACAGTGACCGCTGAACCATTGTATTTTCAACTGTGGCACTGCCCTTGTTCTGAGAGGCTGCAAAATGAAGAGTCTCAGCAAATTTTCCTTCCAGATCATTCCTTTAAGTCAAATGTCACTTTTGGAAAGGGACCCACCTATAAGATTTGAGGTATGGGGCCTGAGAAGAGACAGCAGATGTGGGTGAGAAAATAACTAGAGTTGGGGGCTGGCAGCTGACTAGAAATACCACGTCTGGAGGGAAAGATTGGGGACCTCAGCTTCCAAGGCTTTCTTGAGCCCCGCAATGGGAGGAGTTATGAGGAGGGGCTCAGCTGGCAGAGCAAACCCAGAAGTCGTGTCATATTGTTGGGTAACCGGAGCCCAAAAAGCCAAAGGGGCTGTGGGCACGGCCAGGGGCTTCCGGGCAATGTCTAGTAGTGGCCCGGGGGCAGTCAGAACAGTGGCCACTCGACATTTTGAGACAGACTTGAAACTGTGTGATGTCCTAGTCTTGAAGCGGAGGCTAGATCAGAGATAGTCTGACACAATAATTGCAGTTATTCCATGTCCCAGACACGTCGCCTCTTTAGAGCCGCACAGCTGCCTTCTGAGGTATCATCTGTAACAGAAACATACTGCGGGCCCTCCTCGGGGGCACAGCAGGCTGTGGCGCAGCACTGTGGAGCTGCCCGCAGCCCCTGCAGCACGAGTTCGATTCCCGGCCAGGGAGTGACCCACGTGGCACAACAGGCCTCTCCTGTCTCCCTGCTGCCCCCCTCAGCAGTGTACTTCAGTGGCTCTGCCTGTCCTGGTCCCATTCTGTCTGGTGAATCCTCTCTCCCCCGCACCTCTGGCCTGTATACCCAGTTCTGTATACATAAATAAATCTCTAAAAAGAAAATACTGAGAACTGTGTGACTTGCCCGAGGCTGAGTTCAGAGCCAGGTACCCTGCCACCTGTGTTCACAAGTAATGACTGTCACAGAGCAGGAGAGGCAGGCTCACAGGCACCACCAGCTGGGACCTGACGAGGGTCAGACCCAGGAACCAGTCTGCGCGTTGGAATGCCGCCTCTGCACTTGACTGTGCCTAGTATAAAATCTTATATTTTAGTAGTTTTCATAGCACTAGCTACACAGTGAGCCTCACAGGATCCTTCAGTAAATATTAAGTAACTGATTTGCTGCAGGTGAAAAAATGGGAGTGTGGACAGCTGAAAAGATTTGGCTTCAGGCACACAGTTTGTAAGCAGCAGGAGACAGAACCCAGGATGTGGTGGTGAGGGCCCGGTGCTCTCAGTCAGAGTAGTCACCATCACGCGGGTGACTGATGAAGGGACGGTGATCACAGTAGTAGTAAGCCTGGAGGAGGAGGGGGGTGTCCAGGTGGGGAGGTTCCAGACAGTTCCTGCGTCTTTAGCACCTCCTGGGCATTGCCTTCAAGGAGTAATGGCCCTGCCCACCAGCTGCAGATTCTAGCAAATCTGTTAGCTTCTCCTTTGACTAATACTGGGGGCCACCAGGTGCTGCGACAGCTACCGGTGGGACTAGATAATAAACTGGGCCTCGCATCTGGGGCACAGCGATGAGTCCCCCCTTTGGAATCTGAACCTAGAATCTATGTAAGAGGCCCTTCCCCCATAGCGCTGACAGTAGCTGCGGACCCCGCCCTAGGGGCTCCGTCTCAGCCGCTCCCGGAGCAATAAACTCCGCTTGCTCAGCCTTTCTGCCTCCCGTCTTTCTTCCTTGCGACCCGTCACAGAAGTCGGGACAAAACAACTACCACTGTGAAAGGTGCTAAAAATTAAAATTTTATTAAATGTTTATCATCTTTAGAAAGAAGTTTTCCCGTTTCCTGAAGTTAGCCAAGATGAACTTAATGAAATCAATCAGTTTGTGGGACCTGTAGAAAAATTCTTCACTGAAGAAGGTATGTATGATTTAAAAAAAAAATTACCGAGTTCCATTTCACGAGTCCCAGTAGAAGTGATACACGTAGAGGAAGCTCTGGAGTGTCATGAAGCATGAAGAAATAGTATCTGTTGATAATATTTTCCTTTAGGGGTTGTCCCAGTTACTCTGATTATAAGTCATGTTCAGAGCGCCACAGTGTTTGTGGCACAGGCCCAATGTCAAACATTGCTGGACTGTTGCAGACTGACACTTTTATAAAAGACAATAAAAGTGGACAATTCGAAGTTGAAATGATAAAAACCAAAGACATAAAAAAAAAAGCACAACCACCAACAATGTGCACGTGGCAATGTGAAAGTGCTGTATGTCCCCAAAGGCCACTCTGCGCCTGCCCTTGGCCTGCTGGGAACCAGGAACGGCTTATGGACTGGCAGGTGGCGGGTGAGGGACCAGGTGGAGACTGGACGCTCCTGGGTTGGTCAGCTGCCTCTGCCTGAGGGAGCTGCCGGGGGCGTTCGGTGAGGGCAGTGTGACCGCAGAGTTTCTGCAACTGAGGACCCCGCCAGGGGCAGTTCTCAGGATACAGTCTTGCTGGGTGGCCAGGTGACGCGGAGCGTACCTGGTGAGGTTCCTCGTGCTGGCATTGTGTGCAGTATAAAATCACTTTGTTTACTTTTATTTGTATCAGTGTAATTTATTTTTTGTTTAATGAAGATATTTCTTCTTGTCAGTGGACTCTCGAAAAATTGACCGGGATGGAAAAATCCCAAATGAAACTTTAGAAGGATTGAAGAACCTGGGGCTTTTTGGGATGCAAGTCCCAGAAGAATATGGTAAGTGAAGGAAATTGCCAGTCCATTGGTTTGGCTCTTAAGAAATTACATGTGTCCCAAAAAGGATAATGTTGTGGAAAGGTGGCCTTTAAATGAGGCACGTCCAGAATCGAACTGCAAAACTACTGGAATTCATAAAAACATCTACCGGGGGCCAAATCTGGGGTGGCTGGTGACTGAGTGGTTTGGGACTCGTAGGCAGGATCCTCTGTTGAGCTCTGGGCCCTCTCTGAGATGGCCAAGGACGACCAGCGCTGCCTGTGTCCATGGGGTTGCCGCGCCTGCGAGTGGCCCTGCCGCTGAGCCGCCGGTCCCAGTGTCATCTCTCCTGTGAAGTCCTTTGGGTACAAGCGGCCCAGAGCGGCACGTGCTGTGTGGTTTGGGAGCCAAGCGACGAGGACGGGAGCAGAGGTGTCGGGCCCGCCAGAGCTTCGCATCTCCGTGCAGAGGAGTAAGCTTACAGTCGCAGGTCCAAGGCACGTTCTGGGGGAGATCGGCCGGTGGGGACCTTTGAGCAGGCTCGTGGTCCTCTGAACTGTCCATGAAACCTTGGGCACTGTGGTCATGTTTTCAGCTCCCAGGTGACAACCTTGGATCATTTTGCTTTAGTAGGTTTCTGGGTCAGTCATTACAGCTTGTCTCAGTTTCTGCCTAATCTAGAGTTGGCCATTTAAATTCTGTGTATGTGTGGTGGACAGAGGACTTGGGAAATGACGCAACAGAGCATATGCGTGTGTTCCCGTGCGTGTACGCTCACCTCAGAGACCGTGCGCACATGCGTACTTACATCATTTACCATGACTGTCGGGCTCCTTTCACAAAAGTGACTCTTGGCCTTCGCCTGCTTCTGCACCCACTGGCCTCGGAGCCCTGTCCCTGCCTCTTCGCTGGGGCTAGTCCAGGTTTGGTCACGTCCGACTCAGCTGTTGGAGGGAGAGAGCGGCCTGTCGATGGTGTTTTCAGAGCTGGGCATGTTTTGTGACTGGGAGCTGGGTGTCTGGAGGTGTCGTGTTCTCCCAGCCGGGTCTTGAGTTAGGTTTGCTAGCAAGTCACTAAACCCGGAGCCCTTGAAGTTCTGGCTTTTCTCCAGAGATTGAAGTGTTGCAAGAGTGGGTGGGCCCCCTGATGGGTTTCCATCCTGGTGCTGGGCGAATCTGAGACAGTGTGAAATTTAGTACAAATTTAGTGTGATGTCCACACTAAGCTTATGTTTACTGCATTATTTGAAGCTGGGAAGTGATGTTACCTTGCACACTTTGAAAGGCCACTGGTATTTCCAAAGGTGGCGGCCGCTCACCTGTCTGCTGCTGCCCCGAGTGGTAGGACTCAGCAGCCCCGCCTCCCCTGGGAAAGCTGCAGGTCCTGTTTCTAAGAGACAGTGTGAACTCTGAATTGACTGATCTTTGTCCAGACATGAGACTTGTCAGCGTTGTAACTCAAGTGTCAGGAACAGCCTGTCAGAATGTGCAGGCATGTCAACATTAGGTAACAGGAAGAAGGTGGCAGGGCTGGGGTGGCCCAGAACAGAGTTGGTCTGTGCAGGTGGGGTAGCCATGCTCATTTTAAAATGACGTCTTGATTGACGAAAACTACTTCATTTTCCTCTGAATAATTTCTGTGTAGTACTGGGATCTGTCTTTATACTCCTGCATGACGTGCGTGTGCGTCCAACTCTGCCGAGCACTCTGAGGTGAAAGCCTCTTCCTCTTCTGGACGATGTGTAGGTGCACTTTGGGGCTGCTGTGTTTCCTTTCTCTAACCCTTCTTTGGGAGATCCCTGTGCTGGAAAACAGGTCTCTCCGCTGAGGCCCAGCACACTGGCCTGCCTGTTGCCTCCTCCCCAGCAGCGGCCTCTCCTCTTGTCACCTTCCCTGTGTGCCTGCTGACCCCACCATGAATTTGGTGATAGCTTCTCGGGAGGAAAGCATGTTGGTTTTAGGAAAGGTTGATTTATGCATATAAGAACTGGGGCGCAGGCGAGAGGTGCAGGGGCGGTGAGAGCATTCACCAGAGACAGAGTGGGGAGCAGAACAGGCAGATGGACAGTGTGCAGTGCTGTGCTTTAAACCCTTGTTTTGTTTTGTTTTTAAACCTAACTCAGTATATGAAATGAACAAGAGCAGTCTGTTGATGGGCTGTGGACAGGCAGGGGTGGGTATGACAGACCCCTTCTTGCCCAAAGGGTCATCCTCCCAGATGTCAATAGTGCCAGGTTCCAGAAATAGCTCCCCGAGTCCTCCAGCTCCTGGGATCGGGAGCTGGCATCTGCCTGATACAGGCGATAGTAAATGACTGCATGCGAGCATTCGGTCCTCCTACGTTTTAGGTAGGGTGTGCATCTACATGTGCCTCTGTTCTCCGAGTCTGCGTACTTTCTGACCGATAAGGGATTTCTTCCAAGAACCAGCAAGGACGACGCCAGGCCGCGTCACGGGTGTCCTTGTTTCCTCGGTGCCCTTCTGTACTGAGGCTTCACAAAGCGCAGTCGGTTGTCCCTTTACAATCAGAAAGCCAGCGTGGCCGTGCCCGGCTGTCGGTGAAGCTGTCTGCTCTTCTCTAGGTGGCCTGGGCCTCTCCAACACCATGTATGCGCGGCTCGGAGAGATCATCAGCTTGGACGGGTCGATCACCGTGATGCTGGCCGCACACCAGGCTATTGGCCTCAAGGTCAGCTCTCTGGGGTCTCCATCTGATGCTTTCAGCTCTTTTGGCGCCCTCAGGTGGCTGGGAGGCAGGAGACATGCTCGCTTTCCCAGCAGTGCACGGGCTTGCTGCCTGGGGGCTTGGGGGGTGCAGGCTGCTCTTGCAGCCGCAGGCCCCGGTCCCCGTACAGGCAACAGCCCGTCCCTTTGCACCTCCTTGTCCTCACCATCTTTTCCCCATCCTTCAAGCTGCCTCCACAATGGCTGCTTCACCCAGGGCCACAGCGAGCCTCCCCTCCTGAGCAGGGGCACGCTGCCCGCTCGGCTCTCCTTGGTGGCTGCGCTGAGCACAGGTGACCCAAGTGATGGGGCTGTCACTGAGCTGAGTGGCCTGGACCTGCCCTAAAACCCATCCAGTCCAGTGGGTGTGCTCCTGGGGCAAGAGGCCTGCCCGGGTGGACTGAGCAGCGGGCGCTCGCTAGCCGGGCCCTGCCTTGGCCAGCTTAGTTCTGGTCTCCGTTCTTTACCATTATGATCCTGACCGCCCCTCGGTGGGTGCGGTCAGCCCTGTATGTGGGTGATGAGGTGGAGGCTCAGGAAGGGTATCGCCACGCAGCCGCCCAGCAGAAAGTGGAGGGCAGTGACGAAGTGCCCTGCATCTGACCCAAAGCACATCCAGGCCCAGGCTGCCTTCCCCGTGCTCTCGAGGGTGACTCCAGCAGCCGGGTCCCCAAGCCCCAGATGTCTCTGCACAGCGTTTGGTCAGAAGGACCGCATTCTGCAAGCTCATCTTGGCTGAGGTCCGCCCCGTGTGTGTTTGCTGTAGGGGATCATCCTGGCCGGCAGTGAGGAGCAGAAGGCCAAATACCTGCCCAAGCTGGCACGTGGGGAGCACATCGCCGCCTTCTGCCTGACGGAACCGGCCAGGTCTGCCCCGCACGGCCGTGGCACCGCGGCCTGCTTCTCCAGGCGCGAGGGTGGTTCTGTCAGAGGCCGCTGCCCTCCCTGCCCCTCCCGAAGTCTTCCAGGCGCCTCCTCCACACCTTTCTTGCCATTTCCACGTTCTCTTTACCTATTTCTCTGCTCTACGGAGGCTTTGGAATGTAATTTACCCTACGGTGCCATTCCAGTCATTTTCTTGTGCTTTGCTACACCTTTGCACGGCTTCCAAGCAACTTTCAGAGCGTACTGGGTCTTGGGATGGTGCCCACTTCCAGGTTAGGGGCTGAGGCAGTTGTGTGATCGCTCCCAGGCCACGGGGCTCGGGCATAACAGGGCTGGTATGGGACCCGGGGCGGCCGTGGCAAGTTCATGATGTGCCCCTGCTCCTCCGGTTCCCTCGGGAAGTTGGGTGTCCCGCCTTCCTCAGAGCGGCTCAGATGGGCCTGTTGTGAGCGCATATCTCCATGTTTAACCCTAAGGCCGAGATTTCAGTGCCTGCTGCAGATAGGCAGGGCTGACCACGGCCTGCCGGCCCCGTCAGGTACTTCAGGCTCTACTGGCGCGCACGTGCTTGCAGCGTTGATGGGACAGACTTCCTGTCGCGCAACCCCGTATTTTAAACCTGCCCACTTCTCAGTATTAAGGTAGAAAGCTCCATTTTCCAGCCCTCAGAACCTCCTTAGTCCACATTGTGTTCCTCACCGTTCTGTCTTGGCAGTGGGAGTGACGCGGCCTCCATCAGCTCCAGGGCCACGCTGAGTGAAGACAAGAAGCACTACGTCCTCAACGGCTCCAAGGTGAGCCGGGCCGGCCGCACGCCGCACCGACACTTTCCGCCCAGGCTCAGAGGCCATCCCCGGCACCTAACACTGTTGGGTGGAGCCCACTGTCCTTTTGGGGGAGAAGAAATGATTCATAGAGGTTCGGCGACTGGCCAGTGTCCTCACTGAGTGCCAGAGCTGGCTGGGAACCAAGGCGTGAGGCCCCGTCTGCGTGCCCCCACGGTGCCAGCCACCCCAGCTACCCCAGACGCGGGAGACACACAGGGCTGAGCACGGAGCTTCCTCGGGCCTGAGGCGTCTTCTGTCAGCACCACGCCTCAGGGCCACATCCGTACTGTTCAGCGGGGTCTTTGCACGATCACAGCATTTAAACCCATAACACCACATTTAAAAAATGGGTAATTGCTTACTCTAGTCAGCATTCAGATTTCCCTAGTTGTCTCCCACTGTTTTTTGGTTTGCTCGAATCAAGATCAAAGAAGCTCTGCGTGTTTCCCACTGCCCTCTTTATCCGTTTTGCCCCTTTCTGCCCGGCCCGCACCCCCAGAGTCAAGCGTCACTGCTGCTCGTGTGTGCACGTGCACACACGCCCCCGCACCCCTCCCACGGCCTCCTGTGTCCCTTGGGGAAACCCTGCTCTGGGCGGGCAGGGGGCGCGCTGGGCAGCGGACGCGTCTGCTGGTCAGGCGGCGCGGCGGAGGGTGCTCTGCTTGCCCCACAGCCCCTGTTCTTCCCGTCCTAGGTCTGGATCACCAATGGAGGACTGGCCAATATCTTCACGGTGTTTGCGAAAACCAAGATCAAAGATTCCGACGGCTCTGAAAAAGACAAAATCACGGCATTCATCGTAGAAAGGGACTTTGGCGGAGTCACCAACGGGAAGCCTGAGGATAAGCTTGGCATCCGCGGCTCCAACAGTAAGTGTGCGCGAGCGGCCCAGCCCTCCGCAGGGTGACAGCGGCCGTTTGGTGACATGAAGAACCTGCTGTCACTTCGTGATGTGAGTTCTTTGGAATCATGTCAGTGGCTGAGCCTTGGACAGCTGGGGGTGGGCCGACAGTTGGCCGAGCTCGGGCGTCCGCTTTGTTCCATCTCTGCCTTCTCATACCTCAGACTTGTGCTGAAGGTCACCCCAGGAAGCCGGGTTCTCCCCTCAGTAAGAGCACCGCCTGCCCCCCCCGCACCCTCTTCTGTCGCTGTGCCTGTCCATTCCACCCACAGCTCTGTCCACATCATTACATCACAGTGTCTGTCGCTAACCCGCCGGCTCCATGTGGCTGGGAACCCCGACTCTGTCCCTCAGAGGTTGGACTGGATTGGGGGGGGTGGGTGAAGTGCCCATCTGTACGCAGGTCGGCGCCATGTGGTTTCAGCGCTCAGGTGTGCTCTCAAACTCCCTGTGTTTCAGCCTGTGAGGTCCATTTTGAAAACACCAAGGTGCCTGTCGAAAACGTCCTTGGAGAGGTCGGGGGCGGGTTTAAGGTGAGTGGCCAGCAGCAGCCCTGGTGAGTGCTTTGTGGCTTTGGGGTACAGTTTGTTGGCCAGGTGCACCTGGATTCTCTGAGGAGCTCAGCCCCGGGGGGAAGGTGGGTGTCGCTGGTCTCTCTTGCCTGGAGGAGTGCGGTTTCCACTCCGCGTGTCAGGAGGCTGCGGGCCCTGGGGACTTGAGTCCTGGCCCTCATTGGTTTTCCCTTGGAGTTGGTTTTGTTTTCTTGTGAACTTGTTTGAGGTCATTCAGACAGCCCGGAGTGGACAATTTAGATGGACTTTGGTGGTTTAGTCCGTCCACCCCCAGCCATCCCACGGTGCAGGGCCAGGACATCCCAGCACCCCGCAAGGAGCACCACACCCCGACTTCCCCACACCACCCTGGCACTTCCGTCGCACGGAGTCGCCTGTTCGAACGCTGCGCTCAGTGGCGTCAACGAGTGGCCTTGTGCGTCCGGCTCTTCGTGTGTCAGGTGTGCTCAAGGCTCAGCTGGGGGAGCCGCGGCCGCCTCGTGGCAGGTGACTGCGGCTGAGTCGCCTTTGCGTCCATCCGCTGGTAGCGCTGGCGGCTCCGCTTTTCGGCTGCCATCAGTGGCGCTGCTGTGAATAGTCACGTCCAGGGTTTTGTGTGAACACTGGGAACTTCATTCCCTCATTACTGATCGCGTTCACCTCAAAAAGTTCACTCTCTGGAGTGTCCTCCGCCCTAATCCAGCTGGCGCTTGCTGGCATCGGTGCCCCCGCCGTGGCCACTGCCCAGCTGCTAGGACGGGGTGCTGCCCCTCTGCTGCCTCCCGGAGCCACGCTTCGGGGCGCTTGTCAGCATGGGCGGCTGCGCTGCTCTGGCTGTTCCTGAGTTGAGGCCCCGCCCGTGAGGTGGCTGAGGCCGAAGGGCGATCGTGTCACGCTGCCTGCTGGGACGCTGGACAGGGTCCGTCCCCCAGCTGCGTGTGGGAATGCTCTCCCCTCACCCTTCCCAGCGCTGTCTCGGACGTCCCCATTGTGTGAGAGGACGTGTGATTGCTGTTCGGCTGGGCAAAGAAAACAGCCCTTTTCAAAAAAATGACTAGCGCGGTTGCTTGGCAGCCTGACTGCCAAACAGGGCGCCGCCCCCAAGTGACTCCAGAGACCAGAGTCGTCCAAGTCCACGCAAAAACTGAGGAGCTGATGGGGCGCCACAGGAAGTGTCTGGGCCGGTCAGGCCCCTGGAGCGTGAGGACAGTGCGGACAGGCCTCTGGGAAGGGCGATCTAGACTGGCGCTGTGAGCTGTGGCAGGAAAAGCGGGGGAGAAGGTGACACGCTGGCAGGTGCCGGGGCAGAACGCAGCCTGGCCGCTCTGCCCCAGCCCCCAGGCCACCCGTCAGCAACGGCCAGTAGACAGCAGCCCCGCCGGCGCGAGCACCCCGCAGAGCTGCAGCATTCTCGGGCCGCCGGAGCCGCCGGCCCAGTGCTGCCCCCGGGCGGCCAGCGTGGGCTCGAGGTTGCCCCTTCGGCCTTCTGCCCTGAAGGGCCTGGTAGACCCAGCTCAGGCACCCTCTACCTTCCCCACTGGAGTGCCCCCCCTTAGCCTGCCCATCACCTCCCTGACCACCAGCTGCCTACTTGGGTTTGTTCCCAGCCCACTGGGCCTGTGAGGGAAAGCCGCCTTGCAGCTCGGCAGTGCGTGGGCAGCAGCCCTGTCTCGTCACCACATGGCCGTCAGTTGGCACTGGGGGAAAGAGGGGCTGTAAGAGAGAAGCTGACAGCGCTGGCATTTGGGGCGTGGAGGAGCATGACAGAGTGTAGCGGGTGCCCTGGGGTGCAGGGCGAGCACAGGCTGGGTGTCAGCAGATGCTTCCTGCGTGAGCGCCGCATCCTCTGAACCTAGGGCTCTTCCGGTAAGGTGAGGGCCAGAGTTGCCGCGACTTGCGAGGGGCACCCCTCCCCCCGGGACTGGGGTGGGTGTGTTCTTGTGGAGTAGTGGTGGCCGCAGCTTGGGGCAGGGGCCGAGGATGTAGGTGAGGCCCCTGCACTGACAGCGCCTGACTTGGAGGTGTGGGAACTGTGCTTCCCTGGTCCTGTGGGGACCCGCACAGCGGCCTGAGCAGGTGGCTGTGGCCGAGACTGGCAGTGGCCTCCCCTCTTCCCGCAGGTGGCCATGAACATCCTCAACAGCGGGCGCTTCAGCATGGGCACCGCCGTGGCCGGCATGCTGAAGAAAATCATCGGTGGGTGAGTCAGGGACGGGCCTTGGCGCATGGTCTCTGGCCTAGCGTTAGCCCCAGCCGCAGGCTGTGCCCAGCCAGGCCACCCAGACAGATGGCCCGTTTAGAGTCTGACCTTTGCTTTAGACCAGAATGTGTGCTCGGTCTGCAAGCATAGTAGTGACCACGACCCCACTGGCTCTGCTCACTCACAGAGGGGAGCTGGGGCCAGAGGAGCTGCTGCCCGTGAGCGTCCGGACAAACATTAGCACTCATTCCCCGTTTTGTGGGTGACTGCATTGCAGAGGGGAGCCTCATGGGCTTCTGGATCCCCGTGGGTGTAAGATACCTGAAGCTAAGTCAGCCTTTGCCATGCGAGTCACTGCGCCGGCTAGTGTCCTTGCTGGGCGTGCACTTTGCCTGCGGGAAGGGCGGGGGGTAGGCCTCATGAGGAGCCTCTGCTCAGGGCAAGGAGGGGACAGGATGGGTTGGGCAGCTACAGGTGGGGAGGGCAAGGCCACCCCCAGGCCTAAAAGCTGACCACGTCCAACTCCACACTCAGGACTCTGCTCACTGCTGAGATGCTCCCAAGGCCCTACAGCCCTCTGGGCCTCTGCTCTCCCGCCTGGAACCCTCTGTGCAAGAATCTCGGGGCAGGGGGTGGCAGTGGGGGGGGCTCACGATCAGCCTTCCTGATGTAGAACCTCAAATGAGACACCGAGGCCCAGAAGTTCGTGTCCTGGTCGCCCTTCTCCTGCGAGGCTGGTGGGGGGCCAGTTGTCAGTGGCTTGTGCCTGGCCTCCTCAGAGTGCCCTGTGGGAGGGTCAGCACTGCCAGGCTCACGGGGGTGCCTCCAGGCCCAGTCCCCCACACTGTGCTGTTCACAGCTACACACTATGACGCTCCAGACCAGAGCTTTCTAGTCAGCCTGCCCACTTGTTTTGGTCATGGGTAGACAGGCCTGCTCCTGCCTCTGTAAAGCTTCCGGGGCCTGGCCTGAGCCCGCACCTTACACACGCATCTCCCGGCGTCTGCAAACTCTGGCATCCGTGCCTCATGCAGGGAGCAAAGTCTGGACCACTCACTGGTTTTAAAAACTGCTGGGTTCAAGAAGCTAGCAGGGGGCGGGGGGCTCCTTCTTCAGGCCTTTGGCCTCAGTGCACCCTTCTCTCAGCTGCTGCCTAGGCGTTTGCAGCTCAGTGCCGATACCTTAGGAAATCATGCCGGGCCAACCAGAAAGTTTGCTCTTCTGCAGAAATGACCGCCGAGTATGCCTGCACGAGGAAGCAGTTCAACAAGAACCTCAGTGAATTCGGACTGATTCAGGTAGCTCAAGTGAGGGGTATGGCTCAGGGCTCGCGTCTCCTGGCAGTGCCACTGGCTTTGGACCTTGCTCTTCTCTCTGCCGGTTGGCGGCTGGGTCTCCGCACATGTGGAATGTTTGCTGATCCTGACCTCTCCAGGAAAAGTTTGCCCTGATGGCCCAGAAGACTTACGTCATGGAAAGCATGGCCTACCTCACGGCGGGGATGCTGGACCAGCCTGGCTTTCCCGACTGCTCCATTGAGGCCGCCATGGTGAAGGTAACAGCTCGGCCGGAAGCTGCGTCACAGGCGCCTGGCTGAGCCTTTCAGACCTCAGCGCTGCCCCACCCTCCCGCGCCCCAGCTGAGGGGCAGCCGGTCACTGACCCGGTGTCTGCGACGTGCCGGCCGGTGCCGGGGAGCGAGTGAGCGCAGCGCCGCTGGTGTCAGGTGCCGGCCTGCTTGAGCCACGCAGCCAGGCTGTCAGCGGGGGCTGCGGGGAGTGCAGGCGGCTTCCTGCTCTCTGCGGCCAAACCCCGCTGGCGCGGCACTTGCTGGCCGGGGCCTCCGTGCCTGTCTAGCTGGGGGAGGCAGCGGCGCGCTTCGGCACGGGAGTGAGAGCCCCGCTTTAGTCCACCGGTCTGTGGCGTTAACCTCCCGGGGCGACGAGGGGCCTGACGCCAGTGTGAATGTCTGGCATGGGCAGGGGCGCGCCCGGGAGGCCGGCGGGTCGCCGCTCTGGGCCTGTGGCGCCTCTGTGCGCAGGCTGTGTGCTTGCTACCTTCAGCCACCGCCACAGCCCTCTCCCGGGAGCAGCGCAGGGTTGGCACACAGCCTTGCCATTGCTCTGTCCACACGTGCACACACAAACTGGCCCCGGGCCAGGCGTCCAGCCAAGTAGTTCAAGTGCAAGCAAGTGGGGCTGGGCAGGCTGTTGCTGAGGCGGGCTGTAAAGGACGGGCTTCTCCGGGTGTGGAAGGGCGGGGGCTCTCCCACCCCCAAGACGACCCAAAGGTGTGAGACGCTGGTCAGGGAGGGTGGAGGTGGAAAAGGACTGTACCCAGGGTCACCCAGAGAAACTGGGTTCTCCACACGAAACCTCTCCCTCCCCGGCCACCCCGCCCCACAGCTGAGGTCTTCGCTTCGGAAGGACCTCAGCACTGGCCACCCATGCTGACCTTGCCCTTGGGTCGCGGCAGGTGTTCAGCTCAGAGGCGGCCTGGCAGTGCGTGAGCGAGGCGCTGCAGATCCTGGGGGGCTCCGGCTACATGAAGGACTACCCGTATGAACGCATGCTGCGCGACGCCCGCATCTTGCTCATCTTTGAGGTGAGCGCCCTCCCCCGGCCCCGCTGCCCCTCTCCCAGGCTGAGGCAGCGCTGCAGGCCCCTTTGAGGGCTTCGGCACTGACTCGCTGCTGCGTGCTCCAGCCTGCAGACAGGTTCAGGGAGCATGTGCTAGGTGGGCAGGGAGGCCGAGGAGACCGGGGTGCCTTGGGGCGTTCGCCATCTGTGCAGCCTGAGTGGGGGTTCCTGGGGCAGAGCTGCGCCTCTGCCTGCAGGGGCCGGTGTCTCGCGAGGCAGCAGTGGCCCCTGGCCCCAGCATAAAGGCTGATGGGCCTTACTGTGGGCCCAAAGGCGAGCGGCAGCAGAGGTCTCCGAGAGAGAAGTGACTCGGCTGCATGTGTTCTGGGCAATTCCGAGGCTAATGTGGGTCAGGTGGGAGGGGACGGGCTTGTGGGAGGATGGACAGGCTCTCGGTGGGAGTGGGCTGTGCAGGGCGCAGACCCTGAGCCCAGGGCGAGGCCTGCGTCTGAGCTGTGGGGAAGGTCCCCTAAGGGTGTCTGCAGTTGGGGCTCGGCTTGAGCTCCTCCCAACAGAAAGACTCTGCGCTGCTCTTGTTCCCATGCGCACTGCCGAGACCCACCTCTGTGTGCTCCCTCAGGGGACCGACAGGACTCAGGCAGCCTGAGGGCACACGGTTCCCTGGCCCCTGGGGTGGGTCATGGCCTGCGATTGCTTCTCCAGAGGCCCCTTCTCCTTGGTCTTGGCACGTCTTTGTCTCTGTGGCTGCGTGGGGCGGTCAGCAGGCCCAGCAGCTGAGGCGTGCACAGCCTCCAGTGTGAAGCAGCTGCTCCCATCCTCCACACCACCCCTTCCTCTCCTGTGGGGGCTGCTCGGTGGTCTCCGCCCGCCTCTGCCCTGGGCACCACGTGCTCCATGGCACAGCCTGCCTCCTGAGCTCAGGGGTAGGCTCTCCGCACACTGACCCTGGCACAGGTCGCTGCCAGCCACTCCTCCTCTGTGGCTTTCCGGAGGGCTCTGGCCTGGGCCAGCACGTGCGGTATCTGGAATCAGCCCCTTAACCCCCAGGACAATGGGTCCTCCCATGGTTGGTCTTGGAGAGGCTGGAAGTCCCAGAGAGACAGCGCAGCCATCGGGCCAGCACCCCACTTGTCCCCTGCCCTGACCCCTGTGGTCACAGTCTTGTTCTCAGCTGCTGCCAAAGCAGCGACTTGCGCAGTGCGGGTAAGTGGGCAGTGGTGTGCCTTTGACCTCCACATTTCTGACCTCAGGGAACCAACGAGATTCTCCGGATGTATATCGCCCTGACAGGCCTGCAGCATGCTGGACGCATCCTGACTGCGAGGGTCAAGTAGGTGCCACGTTCACTGTGCACTCTGGGGAGGGGGCGAGAGTGCTGAAAGCACTCAGAACCTGAGGCAAGAGAGGTGTCCAGACAGAGGCTGAGGTGCCTGATCCTGGCACCACAGCGGTTAGAAACAACTGCCAGAGCCCAAGGATGGCTTGCTCAGAGCGTCTCACTGGGCGAGAACCACCTGGGAGCTGGCTGTGACTCTCCAGCTCAGGGGCCTGGCTCTTCTGACAGGGCCCAGCCAGCAGCCCAGCATCCAGCACACTGAGGGGTCACGGAGCCCTGAGGTGCCCTTTCTGACTCCCGAGGCAGGGAGAGCTCTGTGGTGCTGAGGTGCTGAGCTTCAGAGCACCCGGCTTTCTACAGGGAGCTCAAGCGGGGCAACGTGACCACTGTCCTGGAGACGGTTGGCCAGAGACTTCGGGACACCCTGGGCCGCAGTGTGGATATGGGGCTGACAGGGAATCTTGGAGTCGTGCATCCCAGTGTCGGGGTGAGTGGGCGCCCTCCTGTCCTTTGCAGTAAGGAGGTCACCGGCCATGGGCGGGAGATCTCACACGCCGCCCACCTACCCCTGCCCCCAGGACAGTGCCGGCAAGCTTGAGGAAAACGTGTACTACTTTGGCCGCACGGTGGAGACGCTGCTGATCCGCTTTGGCAAGGTGAGTACGGAAGCCTGCACCCTGGGGTCAGAGACAGCCACCCCCTTGGGCTGGGCTGTCCCAGGTGCCACTCAGCCAGCGGGGGAGGGGGCTAGCTGCCGAGGTGCCATGGCCACCAGGTCCTGGTCCCTGGTCCCGGCCCAAACCCAGACAGGCGAGGACAGGGGCTCAGGCTCTGCCCGGGGCTCTGGTTTCAGACCATCGTGGAGGAGCAGATGGTTCTGAAGCGAGTGGCCAACATCCTGATCAACCTGTACGCCATGACGGCCGTGCTGTCCCGGGCCAGCCGCTCCATCCGCACGGGGCTGCGCAACCACGACCACGAGGTGAGCCAGGCCGCGGCTGCTTCACTTTAATGAAGCTGGGGTGTAGGGGGAGGGCAGGCTGTGGGGCCCCCACAGCAGCTGATGGGACGGCCGAGGGCGATGCGTCGGGTCTGGCGCTCAGGATACAGGGCGGCTCCCTTTCAGCACCGCACCTAGAGAGGGAGGGAAGAGGGCCCATCTTGGTTCCTGTGCAGCAGCCCTCTGTGCTCCACAAACAGGCAAGAGCTAGTTAGGTTGACACAAGGAAAGGGGGGAGGGGCCCAGATTTCCCAGTGGCCATCCTTTCTGACCTCTCTTCTGGCAGGTTCTGTTGGCCAACACCTTCTGCACAGAAGCTTATTATCAGAACCTCTTCACCCTGTCTCAGCTGGACAAGTGTAAGTGGACTTGGAGGAGGGGCCCGATTCCAGGTGTGGTGTTTGCAGGCGGGCCAGCCTGTGTGCGGGCCCGTCAGGAAGCTCCCAGTGCCGGCTCACCAAGGAAGGCGGCAGGTCCCTGGCCCTCACAGACCCTGCTCCCCAAGACCTGGCGTCTTGCAGGGACACCAGAAGGAGCCCATGGTTATGTGAAATGAAGTCTCTGCCCGGTTTCTCCCTCGACCATACTCTCCTGGGAGGCTGCCTCGGGGGGGGGGACATGCTCCAGCAGTGTGTACCCCAGTGCCAAAGATCACCCCCGTTCCTCCCCAGATGCTCCAGAAAATCTCGACGAGCAGATTAAGAAGGTGTCCCAGCAGGTGCTGGAAAAGCGAACCTACATCTGCGCCCACCCCCTGGACAGGACGTCCTGAGCGGAGGGACGCCCTCCCGGTGCCAGACGCCTTTTCCAAGGTGGAGAGCTTGAGTTTCTACAGCCAGGCCCAGGCTTTCTCCGCAGCTTTGCCATGCAGGCGCGGCTGCCTGACAGGCCTCTGGGATCTGAAGGGACAGAGTGAAACTGCTCCTCCAGCGGGCAGCACAGAGCCCCTGGCCAGCTTTTTTTCTATTAGACCACGTGTTTTCCAGGAAACACGCTAGGAGCAAACTGTACTTTTGAAACACTTAACAAAAGCTCTAAGACAGTACCTGTTTGCTCTCCTGGTTGTGTCTGTCCTCAGCTCACGCCTCTAGGTAGGGTGGCCCAGGCCTTTCTGCCCTTCCCCTGGGGCCAGGCTTGCTCCCAGCATAAGCCATGATGTGGGACAGCTGGCCTGGGAAGGCCGCGGAGAAGCCCACCCTACTCCAGCTTTCTGGAAGGGGCTGCTCTGGCTAGCCTCGTTCCTGAGCAAATGTCCTGGCTCTGCTGACCAACAGTGGGTTCTGTGAACCAGTGGGTGGGTGGTTTGGCCGCCCTCGTGTTAACGGCGAGACAGGCCTTACCTGTTATTGGCGGGGGCAGCGCGAGGAAAGGCGGCGGCTGCGTGTACAGGTCAAAGTCCTGGTGGCGCTTGTCCCAGCTCCAGCTCCCGCGGTCCAGCACATTCACAGGCGCCTTCTCCCTCCACTCCTAAGCGGGACACTGAGTTAGGCCAGTGTGGGCACCCCGCCCGAGGCCCACTCCTCCCCACGAACCTCGTGCTGCTCTGTGAAGAAGCCGGGGGGCAGCATCCTGAGATGAGGGTCACTTTCAGCGTTCTGAAGGCCTGTCACTTGGAACCCCCTGGGGGTGAGCCACGCCTCGCGAGATTTCTTCCTGGCTTTCTTTTCCTCTTCCTCTGGGTCCTGGGGCTCCACCGTGGCCGAGAGGTACTTCTGCGAGTACGTGAATCTCTTCCTCGGCTCCTAGAAGGGACAGGCGGGAGGAGGGGGGCGCTGGCGGCAGGCCTGGACAGGGCTGCTGGCGTCGGTAGGTCACATGCCAGCCCTGCCCTAAAGTTGGGGGCTTGGCCCTTCCCTCTGAGGGACAGCTGCCTGTTCTAAGCAGCAACTACGGATTCCCTGGGCGTGAGGCGCCTGCAGTGCAGCCATGGTGGAGCAGCTTTGCCTCCTGGGAGCAGGAGTCCCGTGCACTGTGGGGACACGGCCTTGCTCATGGCACCTGGTCACTTGGCCGGAGAGGAAGGAGCTCGTGGGGCGCGCCAGCTGGCATCCTGGGGGGAACAGACACGTGTGGTGTGCTCCCTGGCCTCCACTCACCTTGGCCATCTCCTGAAACAGCTCCTTCTTGGCAAGCTCCGTGGAATTCAGGGTCTGAATGCTGTAGTTGTACACAGCATCTCTGGCAGGGGCTGAAATTCTGATGACCTTCACCCCAGGCTTTGCGGGCTTGCTGGCCTGGGAGGCACCTATGATGTTTTGCTGAAAAAAGAGACACCAGTCATCACCACACAAATCATCGTTAAAATTACAATTAACTAGGTGGGTTCAAAGGCAGGCTAGACGTACAACAGAAAAGATGAGTCAGGAGATGAATTAGTTGGAAGTACCCAGATTAAAGCACAGGTGTTTGGGGCTCAACATCTGACATCATTTGTTGACCATTAGTGATGCGGACACAGGGCCGACCCCAGCAAAGCTAGGTTTTAAAATCAAAACAGAGGCCCTCCCTGGTGGCGCAAGGGTTAAAGCTGAGCACCAGTTCCATCCCTGCCCCACCCACAGGGCGCAGCAGAGCTCTCCTGTCTTGCCCACTGGTGAATCCTCTCACACACCCCCAGCACCTCTGGCTTGTATCCCTGTTCTTGTGTGCAGAAAATAAAAAATTAAATGTCAAAGCAGAAAAGGAAATAAAAGTAAAGCCGTCAGCAGTCACCTACCTCCAAGGAGACAGTCCAGATTTAGTGCAGGCAACTTACTAAACAAACCACCACAACACCAGCCCAGGAGACAAACCAGAATTCAGAGTTTCTACAGCGTGTTTCAGATGTCCACTTTTTGGCTAAAATTAGGTATATGCAAGAAATAGGAAAGCGCACCTCTCACTCTGGAAATAAAGCAGTGGTGCAGCTGGTTGACTTAGCATACAAACAAAGACGACTGCTACTTTGTTTTAAAAAACAGAAAATTGAAGTTTTAAGTTGCATACAAATCAGGGAAAGAAAGTAAAAAAAAACTTTCAGAGGAAGAGTAAAAATTCTGCAGTTGACGATTGAATGAAATTAGAAGTTCAGTAGAAGGACAGCAGATTCAGTCTGACAAAAGTTCTGGACTTGAAGATAGGTCAGCAGAGATTACCCTGATCTCAGAACAGGGTACCCTGGTCACAGGGGTTTGGTCCCCGGTGGACATCAAGGGAACCAAACCCCACACAATGAAGTGGAGCCGGCCAGACGGAAGCAGACACAGGAGCAAGACCTGAACAGCCAGCTCCAGCCAGGCTGCTCCGTGAACCTCCAGAGCACAAAGTTGGAGCAGTCTGACAGCTAAAAAGAAAATCTGGGAAGCAGCAAGAACAGCTTCCCCGCAACAAGGAAGTGATACAATCGCGGCCAACAGCCAGACACGCCAGGAGCAGCAGAGACCAGGACAGATGTCTGACTCCGGCAGCTGCTGGAAGAAAGGTCACCTTGCTCCAAGAAGTCCACATGTAGCAAAACCCATCTCTCCGGAGTGAAGATGAAGCAAGGCTACACTCCGTCAGACGGACATGCTGGTGGGGACGCCTTATCGAGACAGGCTGCAGGGGGCGTCGAGGCTGAATGGGAGGACACCAGAGGGTGACGCACCCCCTCACAAACACTGATGGGACTGTGTGGCTAAGAGAGATGATACAAATGCAAGTACAGCATGAATCCAGAGTAGGTAGAAAGAGAAAATGATAATACAGTTTAGGATACAAGTACAAGAAACAGAAAATCAGCGCACTCTAAAGCTGCCTTTTTAAAAGGCCACCAAGATCGGCAAACTTTTAGCTATACTAACCAAGAAAAGGATGGAGGTAGTATTAAATCAGGAGTGAAGATGACGATACTCAGCTGACCTTGCAGAAATTAAAGGAGTGATAGGACACTGTGACTATATGTCAGCTGGATACCCTGGGTGAAATGGACAATGTCTCAGGACAGCACGAATTACTGACCTAGCTTGGGAAGAAATAACTCTGAATAGAATAACAAGCAGAGAGAGCTAATAATTAGTCATTTAAAATGTTTCCACCAAGTAAAGCTTAGGCTTTGATGGCTTCACTGAAAAAATACCAACCTTTCACAAGTTTCCAGAAAAGGGAGAGGAAGCGCGTGTCCGCGCCGGGCTGAGCAGCCTGCCCAGGCCCAGGGAGACATGTCACGAAGGAAAGAAAACACTGGCAAGCCGGGTGCAGCCACATGCGCCCCACGCCAAGCCCAAGCGGGCTCCCGCCTGGAGCGCAGGCCGGTTTGAAGAGCCAAGCGAGGGTTGGGTTCACCCTACTGGTAAAGGACAAAAACCACCCCCAGCAGAGGCAGAAAAAAGAGCCAACATTATTCATGTAAAAACCCCACAAACTACAACTTCCAGGGGTTCCTCAGCCTAGAGCAGCGCAGCTCCGCCCCCCCCCCCACCAGCTGCCGCCCGCTGAGTGCTCCCCTTCGGCTGGCGGCCAGGCCAGGCCAATGCGCCCCCGCTGGGCGCTGTCTGTACTAGCTCCGGGTGGTGTGAACAGGAGGGCTGAGGAGGACAGGGCGTGGAAGGAACGATTGTCCCCCTCCCTTCAGCACCCCAAATTCCTGTGCTGAATCCCTGGCCCTCATCCCCCTCCCCTTAGCACCCCAAATCCCTGTGCTGAGTCCCCAGCCCTCAGTGTGCCGTGTGTATTTCAGGTTACGTGAAGCCGAGTGGGGGGGCCCTGGCCCAGCGGGATCGGTGTCCTCATGGGGAGAGGCAGCAGGTGGCTCGCTGCCCACGCCCGCCACCTTACACACAGGTGGGCGAGCACGCCATGGCATGGCCGCCTCCTGCAAGCTGAGAGGAGGTTGCAGCAGTGAATTTGCTGACGCCTCAATCTTGCACTTCGCGGCCTCCAGAACTGTGAGAAAAGCCACTGCTCATGGGTTACCCAAGCCTGTGGCATCAAACACTAGGAGGAAAAGGGGGCAGCTGTGTTGGCAGGAAAATGACATGGCCCAATTTCAAAAGGTTGCAGGTAATAAGATCAATGTGTTTGTCTGGCAACAGACCACACAGAAATAATTCAGTTCCTAACAGCACAACTGTCTCAGCGTCCAAGGCCTGCACACTGACAGCTCCGGAGCTCGGGAGGCGGCCGGAATAGAAGCAGAGCCGTGCCCGTTTAGGAAAGACCAGCTGCGAGACCCGAGGACGGCGATCGTGCCCAGATCAGTCTGCGGATTCTAGCCAGGGCTCTGAAACCGCCACCGGCTTTTTCTGCGACGCACATGGAAATGCAGAGGGCTCAAAGCAGTCCAACATTTTAAGAAAGAACCTAAAGGGCTTCCATAAACCAATCTCAAACACTACGAAGCTGCAGCGGCGCACAGTGGGCTGGGGAGAGGCGGGTGGGGGGCATCTGGGCAGGCCCAGCGCGGCCCTCAGGGGCCTGCGCACAGGCCAGGCAGCCCCCCGGCCAGCGGGGGGCCGACAGACGGCGCTGCGGCCCCTGGGCGCCCCTCCCGCACGGGGATACGCGACACTGACCTGGCAGCAAGCAAAGCGCCGGGTAGAGAGACGGGACGCGTGAGGCCGCGGGGGAAGCACCGGCGTCCATGCGCACGGAGCGTCCCGCGTCATCGGTGACTACAAATGGCCAGTTGCCGCCAGGCCACGCCGCTGCCCGGCCGCCGGCCCAGGCCGGCGGGAAACGCCCTGCGTGGCCAGGCCGTGGTGTGACGCAGGACGGCGCGTGGCAGAAGTGCCTGACGGCCTGCGGGAGGCGGCCACGGCGTGCCACGGTCTCCGCCCCCTGCCCGAGGTGCCGGCGCACGCCGCTCCCTGCTCTGTGGCACCAGCACGGCGGGCGCTGCCGCTACCGCCGGCCTGGGAAGACGCGGCTGCACCCCAGAGCCCGCCGGGCAGCGCCTGCACCCGAGAGCTCGCCCGCCGCTCCTCCCGCCTGCCCCGCGCCGGGACCCACCTGGATGAGGCTGCGGCTCTGCCCTCTGCTCTTCAGCATCATGGCTCGCCGCCACTGCAGGTACCTTCTCTGGTGGGTGGAGATGGCGTGGGAGAGGACGGACATGTGGCCCTGGGACGGCTCCCGCAGGGGCGTGGGCTCTGGGGGCAGGGCGGGCTTCCGGTCCGCCAGTTCTCTGGGCGAGATGGGCAGCCCGAACTCCTGGTTCAAGACCCGGATCATGGCGGAGGACGGCAGCAGGTCCCTGGTGACCACGTCCCTGAGCCTGGCGCTGTGGTGGCAGACGCAGTAGATCCTGCAACGCGCAGCGCAGCGCACTCAGCCTCGCCCACGGCCACCGGCCCTTCCCGAGGGCGCGGACACAGCGGCCGGCTGGCCTCGCGCACCGGGATGGGAAACGAGGGGCGCAGTCTGCCGCGCCCTCGGCAGAGGCCCCGCGCGCTCCCTGCCCGCCGGAGTAGGCGCTTCCACTCGCCCGCAGGCCCTGTGGCTCATCCCTGCGCTCCGAGGACTCCTGCCCTGAGGCAGAGCTGCACCCCGCCCACCGCCGCCGCCCCCCCCCACTGTCCTGGGGCGCTGCACCCACACTGACAGGGGCTGCGTGCGGGGCCTGCTGCCACTTGGGCCACTGGGCCTGCCTCCACCACCGTCCTGCAGGCCAGGAGTGAAGCTCCCCAGGCAGTCAGGAGCCCAACCTGAAGGGCAGGCACCCCCCCACCCCTTAGCATAGGACCCCTGCCTGGGGCTTCTGTCGAGTATCTCAACACCCTGTACTCTCACGCACCAGGCAGGACGGGGCCCAGCTGCCCGGACTGACCAGTGAGGTTCTGGACACCAAAACATCGCCCCCAACACCAGCTGCTGCCCCCCCTTTCCTGGCTGGTAACACCACTGCCTGGCCCGGCTGCCCAGCCTGGGGCCGACAGGAGAGTCCAGGAGAGAAGGGGAGGCTTCCTCACCCAGAGGCAGCCTCGGACCTCAGCCCTCCCCTGCTCTCCTGCAGGATCGGCCCCGCTCCCGCTCCAGAGGGGCCTGCAGCTGCGCCAGAGCAGGGCGCATGGACGTCCCCTGGGTGTGAGTGCTGGCGGCCTGGGCTCAGCCTGGCATGGCCCCACAGGGGCTGGCGACTCCTCTGCCGCCCCCTCGGCCTGGCGCAGTCATGCGGCCCCTGCTGACCCCTGCCGGTGGGGCCCTCAGCGAGCGCTGCCCAGTGCCTGCCGCTGCAGGTGACAGACAGGGAGGACGGTGCAGACAAAGGTGCGCGAGCGTGAGGTCTCTGGTGGTTGGGGGGAGGAGGGTGGGGCGGGAGGAAACACTTCAGGAAGCTGGCAGATGGGCAGCAAACGCGGGGCTGGGGGGGTACTGCGGCCGCAGATCTGGGGTTCCAGCCCTCAGCTTTCTCCCTTGCTCACTGGGAAGTGGGCGCTCTACCTGGCGCGGCTGGCCCAGGACAGCCCCCGAACAGCAGACGTCAGGTGACGGGCGGGGCGGCTGTCCTGCCTTTGCCAGGGCGTTTCTAAGGCTCTTGGAGAGCAAGAGAAGGGTGGCCGGGCCGGGGCTCCCCAGCGGGACGGGTAGAGAGCCGCCCCTTGGCCAGAGGCCAAGGATGCCGCAGGACGAGGCGGGGGGTGGAGCCTCTCGCCTCAAGGCAGACCCCTGCGGCGGGCGGGGCGGGAGGCCAGGGCAGGCTCCCTCATCCAGGTCCAAGGCTGGGGCACAGCCAGGCCCAGACGCGCCTCCTGCACCGCCCGCTGCCCGCCGTGGAGGCCCCGCTGGGCCGTCCCTGGACCTGGAGAACCGGGGCCCCGGGAGCAGGGCGAGGTCTCACTCTGACTCAGTGCTCCCCGCTGGCGGTTCCCAAGTCCCAGGTAAACCGTTCCCCTCTGGGCTGCCTGCGGCCCGGCCCACCTGGTCAGGGCCTGGAAGGCCTCGCGGGACACGGCGTTGCGCACGTACAGCCCCGGCTGCTTCATGAGCAGCGACAGCGGCTTGAAGAGGTGCACGTGGTACAGCATGGTCTCCAGGTCGGCGTAGAGGCGGCGGCAGAACAGCAGCTGGGAGTTGTACAGCACCTTGTGCTTCCTGCTCTTCCCGAGCTCCAGCCTGGCGACCCTGCAAGCGGCCGGGGCGCTCAGCGGGCTGCAGGCTTAGGGCTGGGTGGTAGCGCCTGGCCAGGAGTCCCCCGCCCGCATCTGAAAACGCACAAACTGGGTCCTCCCTGGTGGCACAAGGGAAGGACACAGCACTGCACGCTGGCCGCAGCCGCTTCAGTGCGAGCGATCCCCGCCCCCGAGGTGACCCCCAGGGCGCGCCAGACCTCTCCTGGCCGCCCGCTGCTCCCCTCACTTCATTGATCTGCCTGTTCTCACCCCCACGCTGTCTCTGGTGAATCCTCTTAACACCCCTGCCCTTCTGGCCTGAACCCCAGTTCCGTGTGCATAAATAAATAAATAAATAAATAAGAAAACTCACAAACTAAAGGAGCACGCTCAAAGCCTGCTTGGCAGTGAAAGCGCTGAGGCCAGCCTGGCCTGGCTGGTGGCCCAGAGCCCCCAACTCCGGCCCTCACACCGCACCCTGGCACTGCCCACCTGGCAGTCGCCTCCCCTGGTTTGCACCCCGCTGATGGGCGCCTGGGCAGGGCTCTCCCTGTGCCGAGTGCCAGTGCAAGTCTTCAGCGGGGGTGTTTTTATTGTTGCTTACTGACTGACAGTCTCTCTACATGCAGGGTGCTGGCTCCACTCGCTGCGCTATTTTATCGCCTCCTCAGTGCGGGCTGCAGGTTTATGGCGTCTCTGGGTGAGTTAACGGGAGTCACTCATTCTCATGGGGCCAGTCCGCCCTCCTCTGCCTCTGTACCCCTGCCGCGTTAAGGTCTCTCCCCTTATGCTGAGGGCGTGAACGTGATCTGTGTTGCCAGGTGGAAGCTTTCTAATTTTGCTTTTCAAAATTAGATTTCTGGGTGCAACTGAGTAAAGCAGTCAACAGCGGCCGCGTTCACTTCGCTGCGTCGTTAATGAACGAGGACCAGGTTGGGCCCGCTGTCACCACTGCGGCCCCTTTCCCTTGTTTTTGCAGCTTTGTGTGAGTTTACAGTTTAGGGAGGTCTCCGGTCTACCTGGAATTGATCTTTTTGGTGAATTAGCTGGGCCAGCAATTTAGTATATTTCCAGCAAACTAGAAATAGAGTAGAATTTCCTTAACTCTGCCAAAACCCTCCACCTGACACGCCATGTCATGGGGAAGGACTGATTCCTCCCGGCGGAGACCAGAGGCAGACGCAGTTGCCGCCGCCGAGCCAGCGTGTGGAGACGACAGGCCCCAGCGCAGCCTCGGGGCAGCCTCGGCGGCGCTGCAGTCTCAAGCCATCGGACACGGCTTCCTCGGTTGAGAGGAAGCCCACGCCCTGGCCACGCCGCATGTCCTGCACCCTGTGAGGCCCCTCAGAAATGCGAACGCAGGACACATTCTCCTGGCCCACCCTGTCCTCTAGAGACCCCTAAGGTCTTGCCCTCCACCAAAGGCCAGCAACTCTTCTGTCACAGGTCCAGTTCCTGCTCACTACCCTGTGCCCGGGGTACGGCCCAAGAAGTACACGCCCGTCTCACCGAGGCGACAGAGCCCGGGCCCGGCCCCAGGGCACCCCACACCACCAGCACACTTAGGGAATTACAGCTCCGACCACCTACCGCCTTTGGTGATTCTCCCACAGCCACCTCAGGCCTTGCTCAGCCAGGCCTTCCAGAATGAGAAGGTGGATCTTCCCATCCAGCAGATGGAAGCCAGTGAGCACATCCAGGTCAGGCCTCTCCTGGACCTTCACCCGCATCTGAAAGGCGCACAGGATCTGCTGGATGTTCCTCAGGGGGTAGATGTCCAGATCCAGGGCCTTGGCATTGACCATGGCCACGTCCTGCAGCAGGCTGCGCAGGAGGAAGGGCTTCCTGGAGTTAAACACGAAAATGACGCGGCCGAACTCGGTGCCCCTGAGGTCCAGCTCGGGCGTGCCCCCCCAGGTCCGCAGCGGCACGGCAATGTCCACCCGCAGCTTCAGCTGGGAGTCAGCCTCCAGGTAGTTGCCCATGGGCATCGGTGTGTGCTGGGGGCCACGGGGGTGCACCGGAAACCCCACAGCCTTCGTGCTCCTGCTGTCCAGGCCGAGCTTTGTGGGCCCGGGCTCACAGTTGTGGATGGGGACAACCAAGTTCAAGTACTTGTGGCCAAGGAGGAGGTCGGCAAAACTGACCCGGGCTACGCCGTAAGGGTCCCATATTTTGTTGTGGGCCTCAAAGGGGTTCTTTGTCTCTTTCGAGGTGATCAGTGTATGAAGACTGAGGTGTGTATCGAAGGGGTCCTCCCCGAATAGAGTGGGCTTCTGAGAATATTCCTCAAACTTGCGGTCCCGGTCGTGGACTTCCACGATCATGGGGGGGCCCTCCAGGTACTCCCTCAGGTCTCTGGGATGCATTGCCCCCAGGAAGATGACGTTGACATCCTGGAAGTGGACGTGGGTCCCGTGGTGCTGCCCCTCTGTCCGGTGGGCCGGCATCTTCTGGAACTGGTACTTGCAGTACACAGGTGTGCACAGCCTCTACGAGAGAGCCGCCAGCAGTCACCGGGCGGCCTTCCCGCTGAGGGAGCCTCCAGCCAGGGGCCTCGCTCACAGCCCACAGCCCTGCAACTGGCTGCCTCGACCACGAAATACCCACAGGCAAGCCTGCCATGCGAGGCCACTGCCCGTGGCGTGGCGGAGGCACCAGGAAGCCGGCTGGCTCAAGGGAAGGGCTCGCTGAGTGTGAGCGCCGCCCTCCTGCCCACGGGCCGTAAGGATGGGCGCGCCCCTCCATCTGGATGTCTGGCTGCGAGCCGGGGGCTCGGCAGGGAGATGGTGGCTAAAGAAGACGCGGGCAGACGCCCAGTGGAATCCTAGCCAGCTGTGAGGTGAGGGCTGGCACGCTGGAAAATGGGCAGAACTGAGGCATTACACAACGTGAGACTGGCCTGAGGGTGAGGATGACCGGATGAGTCCCACATCCGGGGATGTAAGGAAGCAAAGCAGCTGAGCGGACGCTGACAACCAACCAGGTCACCCGAGGAGGTTGGGGGAGTGTGGGAGAAGGGAGGGAGGGCCACGGGGAACACACACCCAGGAACAACACCCCTCCCCGCAGGGGCAGGAGCTGAGCCGCGGGCTGCTCGCACTTAAGTGCAGGATTGAGCAGTCATCTGACGCCACTGCTGACCCAAGTCCAGCGAAAGGGAAGGGGGTTTTCAAAAACGTCATCCACCTCCAAGGCCAAGAAGAGAAGGCAGGAGAGCGCGGGTGCCCGGCGCCGGGAAGCCGAATTGCAAGGTGCAGTGGGAGCTGAGAGCCAGCTTTCTTCCCTTGCGCCCCTGCACAAGGCTGGAGAAGCCAGGGCGCCGGCCTGGGGCATGGAAACGCAGAGCGAGGCGCCCAGGGCTCCTCCTGCGGGAGAAGCCCACCTCGCCCGCCCGGCCCGCGGACTCTGTTAGTTGGCTGTCTGGGCAAAGGGGAGGCGGAGCGTCTGAATAAATAAAAGACCCAGCTATCTGGAGAGATGTGGTGTGTTCAGACTCAACATGAGAGATCAGTTCTCCCCAACTTGCATATGGATTTAATGTCACCCAATCAAAATCTCAGCACATTTTTAGTGCATACAAATTGATTTTAGAATTTATATGGAGGGCCCTCCCTGGTGCGGGGGTTACGTCTCAGCACTATGAAGCTCTCAGCAGCCACTGTGGCATGAGCTCGATTCCCGCCAGGAGCTGACCCACGTGGCCCAGCAGGCCTCTCCTGTCTCCTCTGCTGCCCCCTCAGCAGTGGATTTCAGTCCATCCGCCTGCTCTGCTCCCCACTCTGTCTCTGGTGAGTCCTCTCGCCCCTCACACCTCTGGCCTTCAGTTCTTGTGTGCATAAATTCAGTTCTTGTGTGCACACTTCAGTTCTTGTGTGCATAAATTAAAAATTTTAAAACGTAAGCTTCCTTATTTGAAAGGGAAGAATAAAGTTGGTCGTCTCGGGTCTACACTGTCAGCTTTTCTGCCCATGTGTATAATGTGTATGTGTATAAAGAGCAGCATGGGAAGAAAAAGCAACAGAAGAAATGAGAAGACTCAACTTCTAAGTAAGATCAGGTCCAAAATGAGAGAAAAAAAGGAAATACTAAAATAATTTGGGCAACTTTAGAGCACGGGAGGTTCCCGAGGCAGGTTTCGGAGGCTGAAGGGCACCAAGCCCCAGCCCGAGGGCACAGACACCTGCAGACTTGCTGTTCTGGAGCAGAATCACAGACACACTTCTTGCTCCTTCCCTGCCAACGCCAGAGTTTTAAAGCCCTGGACTTCATTACAAGCAGACACGAGAAGGATCTGAAAGGGACGGGCAGAAGGCTCGGGAATGGGGTCCCGGGGGCCCCCCACCGTAACGAGGACGCCCGGCACAGCCTCCACGAAGAGCTGCTGGCTGCGGGGCCCTAGTCCAGGAACGGACGTCTTCCACGCCTCGCCGTGACCCCGAGGGGGAGTGCGACGGGGCTCCCTGCGGGCCCGGGCAGTCAGCGAGGGCACGCGGGCGCCCGGCTGGGGAAGGCGCTCGCTCCCCAAGGCCCGGCGGCTCCTCACCTCTAGCTCATGGATGGGCACGGGCTGGGATGGGAGGCAGGAGACGCTGTGGATCTTTATGATCAGAGGGTTTAAGTCCTGCTTTTGCTCCTCAGTCATGATGGGCACTTCCGTTTTTAAAGTCAAAAAGCAATCCAGAATGTTGGCGGACCTCAGACTGCCGTGGCTCACGACAGTTTGCCATCCTGGGAGGGAGACACAGCATTAGCCTGTCCTCACAGCAGCCCAGACAGCCGGAGGGCTCAGGGCACGGGGGTGTGGGGCGGGGGGCAGCTTACATCACAGCTGAGGCAAGAAAACGCCACCCCGGCCCCGGCCCCGCAGGCCGCACGCCTGTGCCCCTGGCGCCTGCTGCCCTGAGCCTGGCCGAGCACCCCGGGGCGTCACCCTGTGTGGCCCGGGGCCTGGCACACGCAGGTGCGCCCGAGGAACCACCTGCTCACAGGTGCTCGTGTGACCCTCGGGCTCGGGCCTCGCTGGCATAGGCCACACAGCCGCGCCGCCAGGTGGGCGGCTCCCGACTAAGTCTCTTTTGTACCGGTGTGTCAGATGCGGCCTCTAGCGGGAAACCCAACTTAGAAAAACAACACTTGGCATTTGCTAAGCAGAGAAACTCCCAGGGTCACTCATCTCCACGCCCACATTCCATGTGCGTTTTTACGGCCAATGAACCGATTCAGACGGTTTCCGTCACCCTGGCGCTGAGCAAGGAGAGTCTCACAGCGCG